CTAAAAATAGAAAAATTGTCCCATATCATAGGTGCGCGCGAATCCCGAGACTTACGGTCTCCGTCCCCGATTATGGCTCCTGATTTCAGCTGTTCGCAACTACAATGACACTGTGGTTGAGGATCATAATTGTCTGTAATCGTCTAAAACAGCATGAGCAGTCTCTATATTTTATAATTGAGTATTGTTTGATGCAATTACCCGTTTATTAACTTGAAGTAAATTAACCACCGTGTTGCGTGCTTTTGAAGCTGAGGTTTCCAGCATTACCCCTTCGTTTCTTTGCTCTGACAATTTGCTGACGCTGATAGATAGCTAAGATTTTCACTCGCATTTCCTTTAAAAACTAATAACTTTACACTGTGATTTTTTTTGTGCTGTAGCTCATCAGGGAGTGGTCAAGACCAAAGACAAATGTGGGAAGAAATATCTGTAAGATACCAGCAAATTCTTCACAGAGAATACCGAATGCTGAACTTGCCTTCTTATCCAGTTGAAGGAGGTAATTTTTACCTTTATTATGTTCCTGTGATAGTAAATCCGGGGTACGTGCCTCAGAATTCTGGTGTTGACAGCGAATGCAGCAAAGAGACAACATCTGCCAAGGGAACCAGAGAAAACAGTGATGACGTCATTTACATTGAGGACAGTGATGAGGACTGTGTTTGTACCGTCAAGAAAGAACCTTGCGAAACGGTTCAAGCAGTGGAATCATCTTATGCGGACAAGAACATTAAAGTTGACAGCAAAGAAGAAACATATCGCCGTGAAGCAGCTCTATCATTTCATGACAAGAACATAAAAGTTGAAAGTAAAGAAGATATATTTCCCCGTCAAACAGTTTTGCGTCAAGTGGAAAAGAACCAACAAGATAAGCCCGCCTCTTTCCCTATATGGGAAGGGACTACAAGACAGGTGAAGGAAAAGTTCGATTACAGGAACTCTTTCATTCAACATAACCAATCAAACGACGGAAGAGATGGCTCCACATCGAGCGATGATGACAACACTATGCGAGATAAAGTACAAGATAGATACTGTGATGATAAAAAGATCGAAGTCACAGAAGATTTCATCCGAATTTTTAAAGGCTACACCATAGAGTACCATCCTCTACGTCGTGACAACACAGTAAAACAGGTCGTTCTCCCCGGATCTCAACTGTGCAGTGAAAGAGATGAAAAGATACAGGATCTAAAAAAGCGCGTGGCCGAACAAAAAGTGGAACTGGAGAAGCTCAAACAGTCGGTTGAGGGAAACGGGTGTGCAAATGGTCTTTCCAAGCAATTAACTGGAAAATACTTTAATGGAAAAGTGAGCGAATGTCGCATAGAAAGCAGCAAATGTTCATTTACGGGCCAAAGAGCGAGGGAAATTCTTAAAGACTGCCCTTCTGCCCAAATCCATTACTTTCCTTCAGGTGAACGAAAAACATTTCTCCCTAGAAGGAGAAAACAAAAGTCACCTCGTAGAGTTGATACCCTTTCAAACGTCAATACTGGAATGGAGACCAGTAATGTAAAAATGGACCAAACAGACACCATTATGAATGGACAAGTTAACAATTCCTTGGCGAAAGCGGGAAAGCGAAAGTTAACTCCATCCCCTGAAATAGTGAAGGAAAAGCTTAGCGAAAGCACTAAACGCGTGAAATGTTCCAAGAAGTCCAAAGTCCAAACAAAACGAAAGAAGATGCAGCATATGTCGCAGTCAACTAGACCGAAGGTAAAGAAACGACAGCAGTCATGGCATGGTAAGACTCAAATGGACCTTAATCATGGAGCAAATTTGAGCAAAGCCAGCGTACCTGAAGACATAAGTCAGGAGGAATTTCTATCAGTGTTCGGATTGTTAAGAAAAGACGAGAAAAAAGACACTTAAGGTTTGAATCTCACCGTGAAACGCGTTCAGGAAATGTCCGCACGCGAGATATATAATCTATGTTTTTTTTTTACTGCGAGGACGTTTTCCTAGTCACGCTTTGTTTGCATAGTAATAAAAGGGTGGTATAACTGTCATCTTTCATTTGGAGAGAGGTGTCATACAATAACTCAGAATTCCTAAGAAAAATTATCCTCCTTCCCAGATCAGGCCGCGATTAGTTAAAATGTAGTTGATTGAAAACCGAATGAATCATTACTAAATTTGAGGATATCGTGAACAGTTTTCAGACTAAGGAGACTCTTTGGTCGTGATTCAGATTGTTGCCGAAGTAGAAAGCCTATAATCTTTAACAACCGATGTCAACTTATATCATAGTTTATAGCCGGAAATGGCTATGAAGTCCGCCAAACATCGAAGGGGCAAACGAAGATGCCAAGATTTATGTTGGAAGGTCCACGACCGTGCACAATCTTTTGTTTCGCGCTCATACACTGTGCATGAATTACGTAACCAAAACGTTTCTTTTCGTTTGTTCCTCAGAAGTAAACAACTATTGTGTTTTGTGCACGGCCAAGGCCAAAAAATCAAAGAAAAACATACAACAAAGAACTTCGTCTGGTTTCATAACTATTTCCTCCTATTAACTATGATTATATGAAGACTGGTATTTTTCTTTCCTCTCCAGTCCTCGCTCTTGTTTTTAGAGGGCTCTGCTCGGGATTACGTACGTGTGATATTTAGAATTTGTTATCAGATTAAGTGGCTCAGCTTTGATGAAAAGCTAAAATATTTCAAAATCGCCAAATATTTATAACTACCCTCACAGTCGTGAACACAGTTTAACTGATTTTTCATCCGTGATTGATTGTCAATTTGTACGAGTGCGGAAGCTTTCATGTAATGAACATATCTCTTTCCACACGGTTTGTATTTCATTTGATTGATGTAACATGACGTATTTATTGATATGTAAAAGTTAAGTGAACGGCCTGTAAGTAAGTAAGTAAGTAAGTAAGTAAGTAAGTAAGTAAGTAAGTAAGTAAGTAAGTAAGTAAGTAAAGGTGCGCTACTCGAATTATTAATATATTGGTTTACATTGTTTGGAAATGTGGCTGGCTTTTAACGACTTTTTGACGCTGGTATTTAATTTCTGGCTGCTATATTTATCTTGTAATGAAAAAAAATAAATAAATAAATAAAAAAAGGTTTCTGTGAGAAAAACTGAATAATGTCTATGACTTCCTAGCTTGCGTTGCTGCTTGGGTATATTCCGTCTGCGACGAAGGCTAAAACTTTCCTACTATTCTTATTTCAAAAGTTCTCGTTTAGTTGAGATTCTTTTCCAGTAAATGGATATTCCAACAATTATTGATTTGTCTGGAACACTGTAATCTTTTGGGTTCTTTTGTGCTTCTAAAGCCCTGGCAAAACGGACTTGGAAGTAGCCGCAAGCTGAACTTGCCTAGAAACTTGCGTTAGGTGGAGAAACGCGGACAGGCAAGTTTCCTCGCAAGTACGGGCAAGGCGTAAAAAAAAAAAAAAAAAAAAAAAAAAA